TCTCGCAAGACATGGAGCAAAAGTCCTGTGGTCACTCAAACATCGTGTTCCTTTTTTTTTTTTTTTTTCAAAGATCTTTTGTTAATGGTTTCCTATCGCGTTCTGCTCCTTTCCACTCCTTCACTTTCTCCATCCTGCCCCCTTCTTCTTTGTCGTCTCATCTCCTTGTCTTCTTCGTCCTCTTCTTCTTCCCGCCCTTTTCAATTACCACTCTTGCACCATTCTCTCTCGGGCCACCCACCCCTACCTCCGCCATCAACCACCCATCTGCCGCCCTCCTTTCTCGCACCATCTCCCTCGTCCCTCCTGCTATCTACCGCTCTCCTCTCTCTGGCTATCTCCATCTTCCTTCACACCATCTCCTTCCTATCTCTTCACTCCACCCTCCTCTCACACACCATCTCCCTCCCGCCTCCCGCCATCTTCCTATCCTGCCTCCTCCCTCCCGCCATCTTCCTCGCGTCCCTCCCTCCCCCTTCCTCCCTCCTCCTCCCCCCATCCACCCCATGCCCTCCCCCTCACTCCCTCCTCGCCATTCACATACATGAAAACACAATAAAGAGGCCAGATTCAAGCAGTCCTCGGTGGTCGCGGCAACGACCGCCACACCAACACTTTTTCCTTGCCCGAGGTATCTGGGAAGGGCACCCAGCCCTGCAGGCTGCACAAATGCCCAGCCGGGCGCCACTGGTAGCCTAGGGGAAAAAAAAAAAAAAAAAAAAACAGCTGAAAACATGACTGAGATGATGACTCCCATTTCAAACAAAGGAAATGAGACATCAACTTGTTGGTTGACGATTGGCTGCGGTTGGAGAAATGAACTAATGTCGTACATTTTGTATTTTTTTATTCTAGTCTAACTTCTAGACTACTTATTGTCCCATATTGATCACCCACCTTTATTATTATTTTTATTTTATTTTAGTTTATAACTTTATAAATTATTATTATTATTATAACATAATTATATTATATTATTATTATTATTAAGTATTAGTATTGGTATTAGTATTAGTATTCGTTCTTTGAAGTAACCCACCTTGTATGGCCTTTGCACTTCATCTTTGGTGAGATAAAAGATAGTCCGATTGTCAGCCGCGAATAGCACCTCGCCAGTCGTCCCACGAATAGGGTTCACGAGTTGCTTCTTCGTCGCGATCTCTTCAACATGCAACGTATACTGCTCAACCCCTTCCAGGTCGATTCCATACGCCATCATCTTTCCATCCTCGCTTACCTGTCTTTCCAAGAACATAGTTGTTTTTTTTTTTTTTTTTTTTTTTTTTTTTGTGTGTGTGTGTGGTGGGGGGGGGGGGGGGGGGGGGGAGAGGAAGAAAGAAACACAAATATTCAGCAACTGGTTAGCCCAAATCCGCTGGGACATCTATTGAAATATATTGGCCAAAATTGGAACGACAAGGAGACGATTAGATTAGCATGGCCCCTGCACAAGGATGACACACATACATTGACAAGTTGTCCACATTTAAATAAAATTATTAAATTAAAAAAAAGAAAAATAGTAAAATACAACTGGACAACAGATAATTGATCACAATTCCATTATCGTTTACCTGCCTTCCCCAGACCTGACACCCAGTTCTCAGGGAGGGGGCGGCGCGTTAGCGCTGCGCTAACACACCGTCCCCAGCAGTGTTCGAGCATTGGGGGATCGCTAACGCAGCTCCGGAAAACTACGGATCTGCCGCCAAAACTTGACGATGACGAGGTCGGGGCGCAGAGGGTTGATGGTGGGACTTGCGCCAAGGGGGTCATACCATGATTCCTGGCCTTCGTTGACTTCGGTTGGCCAAGCATGGCCAGCAATCCTATCCGATCGAGGAAAGAGAGTGCTCATTGTGCGGACGATCGGACGGCAAGGGTCGAGCGCTGCAACAAACCTGACGAGTCTGATCAGGGGCTTTGCCCCTGGTCTTTGATATGGAACTTTGGTGTAAGGGTTTTGGCGATCGTAGCTTTGTTGACGAAGCCGGACAGTGAAATGTGATTTCACCCTCTGTTCGAACATGGCAGCTTCCGGTTGGTCAGGAGATCGCCGTGACTTCGACTTCCGTGCTTTTGGGATTCTGGAGATCACCGTGACTTCGACTTCCGTGCTTTTGGGATTCTGGATGGAGCTTCTTCCATCACCTTTTGGCTTGTTTTCTAACTGAAAGAAAGTGAGTGAGCCTTCAAATGATCGGCTCCGTGCCGAGTTCGAATTAAATGATAGTCGGAGGTACTCTTGTGCACTGTCGCCGTTTTAGGCGACACTTTCAAAGTCTTCGTTTTGTTACGATCCTGGTCATTCCCAAAGTGCAAATTCACAATGAAAGACAATGTCACCCAGTTGCGAAAGAAATGAAAGCACTTGCAAAGAGATAGAGATCAGAGGGGAGAGAAAGAAGAAGAAGAAGAAGAAGAAGAAGAAGAAGAAGAAGAAGAAGAAGATGTACACCAGCAAGACCAATGACAATTCCCCCTTCTCTCTCCACCCTCCTCCTCCTCCTCTTCGCCAATCTTATTCTTCTCCCAAANTATTCTTCTCCCAAAAATAATAATAACAATGAGTAAGAATTAGAAGAAGATGTACACCAGCAAGACCAATGACAATTCCCCCTTCTCTCTCCACCTTCCTCCTCCTCATTCTCTTCGCCAATCTTATTCTTCTCCCAAAAATAATAATAACAATGAGTGGATGAACCAGAATCAATATCCGAAGTTCCCTCTTACTGCTGACTCAACAACAACAACAAGTCCACCATAGCTATGGCTTCCCTCCTTCTTCCTCCTCTCACATGCCTAGGCTATGGCGGACTACTGAGGGCCCTGCCCTCCTGTCCAAAGGACAACCCAAAGCAGCTATGCCGCTGCTGACTGATCCGCCATGCCAGACTCTGCCTCGAGCTTCCTTGGTGCGGCACTACCCCAACTGGGGCCTTCCAGATGCAGCGCCCAACAAGCTGATGAAGATGCTGTCCACCATAGCCAGGTAGGTGCCTCGCCACTCTCCTCCTTCGCCCCCTTCTTCGTCCTCCTCAGGCTGGGCTGCTCGCCATAGCCATGCTGAGCGCCCAGGCTGCCCTTCACCTCCAGGCAGTGCTGTACCAGCCCAGCGCTCCGCTCAGCAGCATGTCGCCAATCCTTGCATACCGCAAATGAGGAGGAGCTACTTGCTCCTCCGGAAGATATAGCAGCCTACTGGCCTCTTGGGCGGTGACTTCCTAGGCCGAGCGGCCTCCAAGCGACTGGTACCTCCTCCCTTTCGGATGGAAACATCATCGCAGGCTCTGCTATCGTCCGGACAGGCCCTAGACCCGGGCTACTTGGACTGGTACCGGCCTACCTCTAGCCTACAGCTACTGGCCTCTAAAAATGCCAACTTTTTGTCTTCTTCTGCTCGGCCTCCAGTACCCGACACTTCTACCAGTACTTGAGTGGTACCGGCCTACCTGCTACTTGAGTGTTTTTCCCCTCTGCTCTAAGTGTCGAGTGTTTTCCCCCCTGCAACCCCCAAAGTCACGGCCACAGGTAAGTACCGGCCCTGCGGGGCCTTTCAACCAACAAGTACCCTTGCGGGTCACACACACACTCAGCCGACAAGCACTCAGACAGGGATTCATTCCAGCGGCAAATCCCACAAATCAGCAGTGTTCTCAGTCTGTGTTTTTGGCGGGTCATTACAGTTTAATCGCTTCGTCGTTTTAGACGGCAGATTTTAGTAATTTTTTGGTTTCTTGTTTTGCTTTCTTAGGTTTTGTCTGGTATTCTGATTTTTTAATACAGAGCGTTAGTAATGATTTTTGAGACTTGTTGTGCCTTTTTCACTGAAAAGTGTAGTTTTTGATTTAGGTAGCAGGCTGTTGGACGGATATGTGCATGGCGCTCTGCGGAGACCTCATCACGGTGGGCGGTGACACTTTCTTGGGAGTGAACACAGATCGGTGGAGTAGTGCGCCCTGAATGGCGAGGAGGTGGGTGGGTATGTGGGGTCTTCGACCCCTGCCGCGTGGGTGGTGGGGTGTCACTGCTGGATCATGAAGACATCAAGATAGGTATTCGTCTTAGGCCTGGGTCTCCATTGTCATCCTTTTTGTGGTCATGTGGTGAGAGTTGCTCTGCAGGAGCTTTATATGGAGGGCGGTAAAGTCTCCTTTAGGGAGTGGACGCAGATAGGGTGAGTGGATTGCCCTGAATCGCGAGGAGGTGGGTGGGGTGGGTGGGTTTAGCGGGGTCATCGACCCCTGCCGCGCAGGTGGTAGGGTAATTCACTGGTTTGCAAAAACAGCATCGTGGTGGGAGTTGGTGTTTTTGGAGTGGTGTGTGTGGGCTGTGGGGCTATTCGCTCTGAATCTCGAGGTGGGTGGGTTTGCGGGGTCTGCACCAGCAGTTGGGCCCTGCGGGGGCTGGCCCCTGCCGCACGGGTGGCAGGGCGATATAGCAGGGTTAGGTAACAGTTTGGGATGGCAGGAGAAACTAACAATTGTTAGGGTTTGCCCTTTTTGAACCTTCATAGATAGTACGATTATAGCTACGGTTTTGTGGTGTCTGTTGGCCCCGTTTTTGGGCTTGACCGATGATGTCTTGCTCTTAATCTGGACCATGGAATTTTTGTGAGGGACGCCAGGCCCGCTTCCTGGCTTTTTATAAATAAATAAATAAATCTTTAAAAGAAAAAAAGAAAAAAAGAAAAAAACAACACAAAAGTTACACAACAACACAGAATCTTTTTTTTTTTTCCCTTTTTGGCAATGTCTGTTTAGCCTAAGTCCACCTCGACAATGGAACCAGAGGAGAACGTTTCTGTGCCGGGATCCAGTGTGGAGACGGGCCCCAGACGGGCCCCTTCCTCACTTGGTTTTCACTGAAGGGAGGTAGTTTGGCATGAGGATTGTGAGGTCTCGGCCAGTGACTTTATTTTTTTGTTTTTTTCTCCGTATTGCAAGAAGAGACCATGCTCCCTTACTGAAAACCTAAAGTTGATTCAGAAGAGCATTCCAACACAGTGGCTCTCCCTCCTAAAAAGGTGATGATTTTTCGTGGAAGTCCGGGGATTGGGGCATACTCATCTCCCAAACCCAGCCCACCAGAGCATATTGGTTTGTCTCCCGAATCAATCCACTCAGCTACTTATCCAAATTCTACTCATAACCCTTCGCAAATGACAGCCTGCAAGAGCTGGAAATCCTGAACAAAGAACCCCAGTGCGACACACTAGAAGCCTTCCTTCCGACTGAGAAAAGTGAGGGTCTCAAAGGCCAAGCTCTGGAAAATCTTCCAACCGGACCCCTCAGCATTTCAGACCTCCAGTTCGACCCGAAAGAGTGGGGTCTGGAAGCAGGCTAAGTCCGGGAGAACGAGTGCGATATTTGAATATGATGTTAAATTTGGTTATGACTTGGGTTTACAGACCACAGATCCGCCGGACCCCAGACTCAAAGGAAAATGGAGAGAGATCCTGAATCTAGACCCCACGGACCCCATTTCCATCCCTTGGACTGTCTATTAGACCGGTTAGGATCTGAAGCATTCAGTGGCTCGTAGCGCACGCATCACTACCGGTCAACCATGAATATGATGTTAAATTTGGTTATGACTTGGGTTTACAGACCACAGATCCGCCGGACCCCAGACTCGAAGGAAAATGGAGAGAGATCCTGAATCTAGACCCCATGGACCCCATTTACATCCCTTGGACGAAGTACCTGTCTATTAGACCGGTTAGGATCCGAAGCATTCGGTGGCTCGTAACGCACGCATCTCTGCCGGTCAACCAAATGGCTCCACAAGAGGAGGAAATATACGGATCCTGACAGCTCCGAATTATGCAGGTTGTGCACGGACAACATCCCGGAAGATATACCCCACTGCCTCCTGTACTGCATTGAAGCAGCATGGATATGGAACAAGGTGCATGACCAACCTATGGTCCCTCCTCTTGTCATCATCACCCCCGCCGTCCACAACTCCTCTGACCATCCTGATCCTATCCAACAATACTAACAATCTCAAAGGTGGCAAGGAAGTCTGGTTTCACCTGCCTGCTCAGGAAGCTGGCTCTATGGGTAATCTGGAAAAGGAGGTGTACCAAGACTATCGAGGGTACCGAAGTGGCAAAGGAAGAAATGTGGATTCTACTGCTGGGAATGGCGGACACTGAGATTTGATCCTGATGGAGTGAGGTGACATCAACAACGAAAGTCAAGAGCAGATAGATTAACCATCAAGAGACGGTCT